CCGTGCCCACCCCCTTGCCAGCTCTGCCAATAGCCTATGATTGGGTCCAAATGGGAAAAGGTTCTTTACTCTGCTGAGAGAAGGGAAGCTCTGACTTTGCATTTCTCTGAGGAATGGCAATGTAAATGAACACGGCTCTGTGCCAGAAGACATGCAGATGAATGCTATTTTCTTAACTTAATCAGTCCTGTTCTACTGCTGCTCTGATTGTCAGCCGTCACATCATAACTTATTGAATGCTTGCTACGTGCCAGGCACATGTTGAGTGCTGTACACAAATTTCATTTAATCATCCAACAATCCTACTTACTATGTTTATTCCTAATTTACAGATGAAGAAATTGACAAAGCTTAAATAATTTGCTCTAGGTCACTATACAAGTTGAGGTGTTTTCAGCAGACAAAAATATATACTTCTTGAACACAGGAAAATATTCTGACTTCATTCATAATAAAAAGAAATGCAAGTTAAAACCACACTGAGACACTTTTAAAAAATTGTCAGATTGGCAAAGATCAAAAAGTTTGTTAAGGCTCCTAGTTGGCAAGCTTCTGGAGAAAGGCACTCATACATAGGCTGACAGGAGTATAAATTGATACAACTTCTGAAGAGGATAATATAACAATGTCTTTCAAAATCACAAAAGCACTTACTCTTTGAATCAGTAATTCCACTTCTAGGAATTTAACCTTCAGATATATTCTCACTAAGTGTGAAATGACATATGTATGAGGTTATTTATTATAGTGTTATCTGTAATAGCAAAAGATTAGAAACAATTAATTGCTATGGAGCCCTAAAAAGAAGGAAAAAAACAGCGGCTCTAAATGCCTTGATAAGATAGCCAAAACAGATTGAGGTACAAAGGAAGGCTGTATAACAAAGTGCAACATATGCTGCTATTTGTCTCAAGAAAGGAGAATTGGATATCCGCTAACCTCATCCTTGCCACTCCACCTTACACCCTTATTGCAGAGAACTTACCATTCCTCCATATACCCTGCTGGCACTGCCCCTCCTCCCAACCCTCGCCTTCCTGCCCACCCTTCCAGAAACATTTCATGTATATACACATAGTTCCTTGTATTAAAAACACAAATAGCATATGATCCATGCTGTTCTGCACTTTGCTTTTTTCACTTAATACATACTGGCACATCGAGAGCTGTCTCATTCTATTTTATAACTGTATACCATTCCATCCAATGGATAAATCATAACTTATTTAATCAGTCCCCCTGTTAATGGACATTTCCGTGGTTTCCTATCTTTTGCTATTATAAATAACGCTATAATGAATATTCTTGTGCATATGTTATTTCACATTATATCTACGGGATTATGCCTGTGGGGTAAATTCTTAAACAATGGTGGTTTGTGGGGAAGGTGACAGGGTGGATGGGTAGAGGATTGGGAGACTTTTCACTGTATCCCCTTTTGTGTCTCTGTGTTTTGTACCATATGTATTACCTATTCAAAAAAATAAAATATTTTTAAATACAGCTGCTGGCCATAGACTACTTAAATGTTCCCTCTCTTTATATATTTGACTATATTTTACAATGAAAGCCAGACAATAATTATTTTAAAACTTCTAAAGCAAACTTCCCTTAAGCAGCCCTGGGGCACTTCTGTGGAGAAATGGCAAACAGGGATTTTAAAAGAGCAATCATAAACATCAATGCCAGATACCCAGGAAAGCAGAGGAGGTGCCTGCCTTTGAGACGAACATGCAAAACCATAATAATGTTGCAGCGGACAGTGTCAGGCCCTGCTTATTGCGTGACATCAGCTCAGGTCCAGAGTTCAAGTGAGGGCTACACCATAACGACCAGTGCTGCCCACTTCTCTGTATAGGATGCTCCTGCCAAATGTCAACCTGCACTCGGGTGCTTTGTAACAAAAGACCAAAATAGAACTCAACTCTCAGAAGAAAGCTAGAGAAGGAAGACTATCTTCTTGGACAACCACTTTAGTAGTCCTTCCTAATCTCTTACTTATGAACCTGTTTTCTCCTAATCCCTTGTAATCAGTCAACACGCCCACACAGAGAAACTCAGGGTGGGTGGGCCACAGATAGTTTATATGTCACTAGTCACCATCAATCACAAAGCTGAAGAGTGTGATTCCACAAGATCTGGCCTTGACCAACAACATACAGCAGATTCAGGGCTCCCTTGCCTTTGGTTCTTGCATGCTCATGTTTTGCTAAAGCAGAGGTGGGGCATGCTGCCCCAGGTACTCACTAGCTTGCACATGTTAGATAAAACCAATTCTGCAGCAAACAGGGCCTTGATAACCTCCCCTCGAAAGTAATGGAGAGGCAAAAAAATCTCCCAATTGCTACTGGAAGAGTGTAGTTTTCCTAAATGAATTTGCAGTGAGCAAAATTTGTGAAAACATCTGCTGGCTGTTATGGCCTGCCAGGAAGAAGGCATCTGGTCAGAAAGGGTCTGCAAAAGATCAGAAACCCGTTTTACTATTCTGTTTATTCCAAGCAAACCACCCACTGTTCCCTGGATGCTATCATTTCCCTATGTCCTGCAGTCTTAAAATTTCTACATCAGCTCCCTCCAACAGAGACTTCTTTTTACCATTTCAGGTTTCCCCACGAAGTAAGGTGATTTTTCTCAAATCCACCCTTTCTAAACACAAAATTCCAATTCTATTAACAGTAGGTACTTACATATACGCATTCGAAGGGACTCTGCAATGTTATGGTTTATTGAGCAACTAAAACTATTATGCTTGTGCTCAGTATGAGTTTTAAAATCACCAAATCAATATATAACCCACAAAAATATTCATGAAGAATAGGTTCTAACAGTTAAAATGTAGCAAAATCTCTTTTTAAGGAGGGTAAAAGGACTTAGTCTGCATAGAAAATAAGGATAAGTCAACTAGCACATTCAGGAAGAGTAAGGTGAAGAAGAGAACATTTCATTGGCCTTTCTCATCCTCTCTGGCCTACTAGCCAGTGTTTAAGTTACCCAATCTGTGATCCTGATGCAAAACAGAAGTACATAATGACTTTCTCTAAAATGAAGCTTTTATCCATAGCTTTACACATATGTACAACCAGCTCTGAAGGTCAGAGAAGTAATTCCAAATTTTGGAACCTTGGAGGCTTGACAGAATATACTGGGTTTCAACCAATTATTAAATCTTAGGTAACAGCATCTAGAGGCTTGGCCTTAGACTTGTGTAGGAGAAATTAAGAGTAAAAGCTTCATATTCTGAAAACAACAGTGGTAAAACACTCCTGGATTGAGGGACATAACCTTGAGAGAGGAACATGATTGGAAGAAAACCTCTAGAATTGTACTAATCCCAGTTTCCTCAAACTGGTACAAACGGTAGCAGGCTCTGGGTCCCTAGTCATCGCATCAAAGTTTGACAGAGAAGGATGACCCACAGGAGCAGCCTTGCTGCGCTTGAGGATTGTTCAACACTTGAAATGAGCTTCGGATCAGTTCTTGGCTGAAGTCCACCTGGGCCCCCTTCACGAAGGCCAAGCTATCAGAGTCCACCACCACTCTTGCCCCACCCTGTTCAAATACCCTGAAACGACAGGAGGAAGGCATTAATGAATATCACAGACGCCAAAAATATGACATCCTCTGAGCCCAGAGATGCACATTCTCTGTTTTCTGAAATACAGAGGAAGCATCTCTTATTACCGCTAACAGGTGCTGATTTTCTTTTATGCAAAAGAGTCAACCGAATGAATACTGGGAAATCTCGACATTTAGGTCTGGAATCTAGTCCAGCCTGGCTCTCCACCAACTACCCTACGGACTTAGACAGGCCAAATTTCCTCCTATAACTTAGTTATTTTGAATCAAGACAACAAATCTTCACAGTACCCCACTGTGGAAGAAGATGTGGTAAGCATCCTTAGCAGACCTTTTAAATCTGGAATAAAAGTGCACCTTACACTGGAGACACTTCCCACACATTTTCTGACGACCCACCCCTTCCTTCTTGCCTGTCGTCGGGGTTGATAACTGTATCCAGTGAAAATTTGTATTGGAATCCGGAACATCCACCTCCCTCCACCTCCAGCCTGAGGAATTCTGACCCTTCGGTGATTTCCAGAAGCCTCTGAAATGCAGGAAAGGGGATCAAGAATGCTGGGAAAGGGGAGGAAGAAGGGTGGGCCGGGGGAGGCCCCGCACTCCCGGCCCTCTCCAGGGCACCGCCCCCCCGCGTCCGACCTCCTACCTGGACGCAGCTCTCGGTGAGGTGGATCTGCCCTTCGTCCGCCTCGGGGCTGGAGGACGACGCTTCCCGAAGCGCCTGAGGTCCGCGGGAGGCCGCGAGGAGCCTGCTGAGCAAGGGACGAGAATGAGCCCGGGAGCAGAGGGTTGCCTGGCGACCTCCAGCCGGACAGCCTTGCCTGACCTGACGACCTCCACCTGGACAGCCTCACACCAAAGCCCCACCTCCCCCGCCGGCCTTAGTTTCCCCTTACTCCTCGCGGCGCAGAACCTAACACCCCTCCCAGAAGCCTTTCTAGGCTTGGTACCTGCCCCTTGGCCAGGGGGCGACCGCTCTCAGCGCCGCGGCCGTTAGCGATAACCGCCAGGTGGCCGCCATTTTCCTCCCCAAGCCCCGCCCCTCGCGTCGCCCCAATCCCCTTCTCCACCAGGGCCCCGGGAGGCGGGACCCACGGAGACCCCGCCTTCGAGCGCGCCTATTGGGTGGCGCTGGAGGAGAAGAGATTTGATTGGCTAGAAGTGCCCCCCATTGCGGCAGCAGGGACGCACCAACGAAGCCCAGGCGGAGCGCTGGCGACAGGGGCGGGGCGGGGCGGAGTTGGATCCCAGCCCAGCGGGTAGCCGAGCGGAGAAGATGGGCGGGGATAGTGGGCGTCTGGGCCGGGCCGAGCCGAGCTCGGCTCCCTGGAGCCGGGGGAGGGGAGGGGAGGGGAGGGGCGGGGCGCGGGCGGGCCTCGGCCTTGGTCGCTGCTGCCGGGTCGGCTGACCGGGCTCCTCCCCGAGCCCGCCCCAGCTAGTCTATCTTGTGACCGCGGCGGCCGCGGCTTCCTTCCTCGCGTTTGGAGCCTGCTCAGCTGCGATGCGTTCCTTGGCCGCCGCGTTCCTGCTCCTGGCGCTGGGCGCCTCCGCCCTGGCCAACCCGGTGCATTTCAAGGACTGCGGTGAGTCTCGGGCCAGCCCAAGTTCCCGCGCCCTCGGCGGCAGCCCCCGCCGGCACCGCGCGCTGAGACACGCGGGCTGGGTCGGGCGGATCCCGCGGGGGGCCGGGTTCAGCTTCGGACCCGTGGTGGAGTGGGCTGGAGTGGGCTAGGGTGGGGGACTCGGTGAAACCCGACCCCTCACAACTTTGTCTTTCCTTGGAATGCGTGTTTGGGGTCCGTGGACTGTCCTCGAGGTGGGGCTTTTGCTGAAGTTTCCTGAAGTTTGTAAGGCAGACAGCCGAGGGTCCTTGTGCAGCGCTGGGGGTGAGCGGTGGGAAGCAGAACTTCTTTTTGTTTCTGCCTTCTATCTTGGGTGACTTTTCACTCCCCACTCCGTTTGCGTTTCCTTTTCATTTCCCATTGCTGACAAGTCAAAACTAAATTCCCCTTTTCATGATTTATTCCGTTAGCGCTTTCTTTGGGCTATGGAATTTTGTGGTTCTTAGTTTTTCCTGCCTACAAAACTCGTGTTCCTAGTCACAGTTTGTGACACATAACCCACTCTTGTCGCTGTGATTAGAATCTTTGTTGGGAAATACAAGGGGTGGGGGGAAGGGTAGAAACTGTGAATTCCATTAGTCAAGTCTATAGAATTAATTGTTCGAGCAGAACTTTTCTAAGGTGGAGAGGTGTAATGATAAATGAAAGGGGCGTGAAACTGAGTTTATAAAATTTGTGAGCTGGAAGGAAACTTGGAGCATATAGTCAATCATGGAATTCCAGAGATATTAGGTAACTTACCCAAAGTCATACAGCAGAATAGGAACCAGAATAAGTTTGCTCTTTTATATCCAGTGCCCAGGTAATAGTAACTGCTCAATAAATATTTGTTGGAAAAAGTAAATGAGGGAATAAATGCTCTCTCTGCTATGTCATCAAAATTCATCTTGAGGCAAAAGCAAAGTTGGGGGCTATGGGACAGGACTGGTTCAGGAATAAAGACTCTTGGCCTGTTAATATGTAACGAATGCTGTTCCACTGAACCAGGAGACTGGCACTTGAAAGGAGCTATCATCACCTCAAATTACTACCTTTTTCTCCATTGAACTTAGTGGCCAACACTTGGATGAACACACTGTGTTAATCTTAATGACTCATTCAATCCTCACAGTCCATTTTACAGATGAGGAAGCAGGCACAGAGTAACTTGCCCAAGTTTTCACAGCTAGCAAACGGTAGGAAGCTAGTGGGTGTTGGTGAGCCACTTTGGGTTTCAACTGTAACATTAACATTTAAAAAAAAAAACAACTAAGGAAACTAAATCCAGACACTGTTCTACTCATTTGGAAAAAAGGCGGTATACACTTTATGGCAAGAACTTCTTAAGGGAAGGTTTCAGTTACAGATTGTCACTTCACTTTTGAATTGGGCAATACAAGGTAAAAGCCTGGGACCCACATCAAAAGGCTTTTGAGTTCCGCTTATGCCTCCTTTCCCCTGGAGTGGCATTTCCTCAAGTGAGAAATGGGGCAAGCAAACTAGTTTTGTAATTTTTCAAGTTAGAACTGAGGGGTTTGTTCCATCGACGTTGAAAGTCCAAGAACCTCTTGTCAGCAAAAAACTGGATGAAGGAGCTACAAGTACTACCGTTTACTGAGTTCCTGCTCAGTCATGTGACCCAGCCTTGCATGAAGCAGGCAGAGGCTGGACGTTGAAAGCTTTAGCATAAGCACTAATTTCCAACAGGTTGTTGATTGAAGTCCCAGATGTCCACAGAAGATAGGACGGAGTGGAAGAGAGTGCTTAGAGAAGAGGTTCTTGCGCGTATAGTTTGAGGACTTTGCTATGGTGGAGAAGCAAGCCGGGGGATAAGGGACTGCAGGGTATTATTTACAGACCTAGCTGGAGCAGCGTTTGTCAATATAATGAAACTGTTCCACCCAGGAGCAGGCCCGGGCTGAGAAAGCAACGTGCCTCTACGTGAGATTCTCAGTGCATTTCCTGCCGGACTGAGCTGCCTGCTGACTGCGAAGCAGATAATGCGCTCTCACCCTGCAGTTTGCTGTCTTCGTGCATTCGACTTTTGAGACAGAAAGAGTCCATTGTATCCGCTGGATCCATAATTTCTACCCACAGAGTATATTTGGAGTGAGAGGCCCACCTTTTGTGTCAAAAGGGAACTTGCTAACCCACCCAAGGGCAGCTATTCTAGATTAAATTCATGGACTGAATCCCAACGTGATGATAATAGTGAACACTTACATAGCATTAGTCTGTTCCAAACACTTATCTAAGAGCTCTGTGTGTGTTAGCTCACCTACCCTCTGAAGGAGGTACTCTCATTAGCCCCAGAGAGGTGAAGTATCTTGCCTTGAGGTTACACAGTAAGTAACAGAGTCAGTGAGATTTCAAGCCCGGGCATCAGGTCCCAGCGTCTCCCTTGCAGCAATGTTGGCCAAATGGCAGAGCTTAGCTTCCCCTGTTAAAGGCAGTGTCAGCAGGCGGTTTGCTTGCATCCTCTCCCATTCACCTGTCCGCTTTCAGGGGCCTGGATGAGGTAATGGGATTTTAAAAGATTTGTACTTAACTTTTTTTTGGTCAAGCATCTCTTTTGTGAACAAACGGCACTTTTATCCTTGTTTAGACTGAATTTTTTTTAAAAAAGACACACACCCTGCCTTAAAGACACTTATTTTGAAGAACACAGGTTTCCAAAGCACACTGTACATCTGTATATCGCAGATGCATGCTTAAAATTGTTCTCATCAGTAGGAGTATGCGAAGTGTGGAGACCACTGATTTGGAGAGACACCAGGGCAGAAGTGAAAGATGGAGGGGGAGAGCAGTTTGGGAGCAGCCAGTCTCAAGATTCCAAATGGCAACAGTAGCACAGAGACTTGAGCAGTATATGTGCTGCTTTAAAATCCTGGAAGGAGGGACGGGGATGGTTTTCCTGGGCATTGCCCTCCCAGGATGTAGAACAGGGAGGGTTGGCTATGTATGTGTACTTAATAATTTCCTTAATTTCCCTTCACCTATCAAACATGAACAGTGTCCTGGAGACACAGCTAGAGGAGAATGAGCTCACCCTCATTGGGAGAGCAGAGCACCTTCCCATTAGGTAGGAGGCAGCCGAGGTGGTTTATTTTCCCTCCTGTTCCAATTCCTTTTTCTTTTGTAGGTTCTCAGGTCGGAGTTGTAAAGGAAGTGAATGTGAACCCATGCAGCACCCAGCCCTGCCAGTTGCACAAAGGACAGTCTTACAGTGTCAATGTCACCTTCACCAGTAGTGAGTAAATGTGGCTTTACCTTCAAATTCATCTTAAAGCATAACATCAGTCCCAAGTATTGGCATGAGCATGGGAATGCGGAGGAGGGAATTGCAGTCAGGAAATCTGTGACCTCCCTTCCAACTTGTGCAAAGCTAGGATTCGCTACGCCCTTAGACACCTTTCTCATGCTGGGTGCACATATGTCTATTCCCCTGAGTCCATAGCTGCCAGACTCCCTTTAAGCAAACAGGGAGATTTCCATGTGTTCACAGGCTAGAGAAGACAAGTTGATTTCCCTCTGTCCTATTTTGGTCCATTTTACACAGCAGGCTTTTATGGGAATGTCAACTCTGTTTCGCTACGGACTGCAGGGTGTTAGTACAGACCCCAATTCTATAGACTTTGGAACTCCTCTAAAATGTTATTTAATTTGCTTTCCAGCTATTAAGTCTGTGTTTTGCCTGAAAATACAGGAGCAATTAATACTTAGTTTCTGTAAGCTCTAGGGAACCCATTGGGGACCCATGAAACACTCAAGAAATCTGAGCTATCTTCCTCAACTTGAAGAAATATTATTGGAACTTCTTGCTTTCTCATACTACGTTCATCACCTTCAGATTCCCCAGGATCTAGACAAATGCAAAGTCTTTATTTCTAGAAAGGGCATCTACCTTGAATCTTTCCCTCATTTTCTATCCCATGGAACTAGATTAGGCAATCCAATAAGAAATCTCAGGGCTGGCCCGGTGGTGCAGTGGTTAAGTTCACGTGTTCCGCTTCGGTGGCCTGGGGTTCGCCAGTTCGGATCCCAGGTGCAGACATGGCACCGCTTGGCAAGCCATACTGTGGCAGGCGTCCCACATATAAAGTAGAGGAAGATAGGCACGGATATTAGCTCAGGGCCAGTCTTCCTCAACAAAAAGAGGAAGATTGGCAGCAGATGTTAGCTTAGGGCTAATCTTTCTCAAAAAAAAATTAATCAATTAAAAAAAAAAGAAATCTCAGAGTTTCTGTCATCTCTTTTTCTTAAGCCTAAAGACAGCTCTAAGTACTAGAGTTGTTTTTCTCCTGGATGATACCCTGACTCCCCTATTGTTCCAAACAAAAAAGTACCTTCTAAGCAAAAATAACCCCCAACCCAGACAGAAACACTTGGATTTGTTTTTGTTTTTTTTTTTTTGGAAGATTAGCCCTGAGCTAACATCTGTCACCAATCCTCCTCTTTTTGCTGAGGAAGCCTGGCCCTTAGCTAACATCCGTGCCTATCTTCCTCTACTTTTTTTTATATGTGGGACGCCTGCCACAGCACGGCTTGACAAGTGGTACAGAGGTCCGCACCCGGGATCCGAACCAGCAAACCCTGGGCTGCTGGAGTGGAATGTGCGAACTTAACCGCTGCGCCACCTGGCCGGCACCTAGCCAGAAAGAAACAGTCAATACTCTGAATCTCCAGAATAAGCTAACAGCTTGTGACTCTGGTTGCCTTCATTTTATTATATTTATTCTTCCTGCCCATCTTGTGAGATGGAGAGTGGAGGTTAGCGGGGACTGTAGCTCTGTCTAATCTTACCCAGTTTCTAAAGGGTTACCTCTTTCACTACTGTTACAGCCCATGGCATTTCTGTGGAGATGCCTTATTCCCTCTTTTCACATAGCCTTGCATTTTATTCTTGATTGCTAATAGAATACTTTGGGCGGGTTATTTGAGAATTCAGAGGCCAGTCTCCTAAAACTCTTTAAGATGTACAATACACTTTGACAGAGCTGATGTAAATAGTAAACAGAAAGTTTACTGCCAAAGATGAGTTGCCTTGTTGGATAAGGTTATTTATCCAGGTGTCTCTGATTCTCTTGAGAAACTGTGAAAGGCAATGAAGAGCAAGGTGGTGTGAAGAGCGAAGAAGAAACCCCCACTGATTACTTCTTATTTGCATAATTCAGTAATTTTTCAAGTTTTGGAGTGAATGCTTGCTCTGTAACATTCACAGAGGTGCTAAGCATAACTACAAACAGACACAGACCCTAGGAATTAAAGGGTAGAGACTTTATGATCTGCTGTCATAGCAGTGCTGTTGCTTAAGAATATATCTGAATTTTGTGTTTAAGAGTTGGGAAATAGGCTGTTTCCTTTACTCTCTGACTCTCTGTTTTTTCTCGCAGATACTCAGTCTCAAAGTAGCAAAGCTGTGGTGCATGGCATCGTGTTGGGTGTCCCCGTTCCTTTTCCCATCCCTGAGCCTGATGGTTGTAAGAGTGGAATCAGCTGCCCCATCCAAAAAGACAAGTCCTATAACTACGTGAATAAACTGCCAGTAAAGAGTGAATACCCCTCTGTAAGTGACATTATCAAGGACACTGGAGGCCTTGTGACTAGATTAGAAATCTGGGGGCTGGCCTGGTGGCATAGTGGTTGAATTCGCATGCTCCACTTCAGCGGCCCAGGGTTCGCCAGTTCGCATCCTGGGTGCAGACCTACACACTGCTCATCAAGCCATGCTGTGGCGGCATCCCACATAGAAAAACTAGAAGGACTTACAACTAGGGTATACAACTACATACTGGGGCATTGGGGAGAAAAAAAAGAAGAAAAGAGGAAGCTCGGCAACAGATGTTAGCTCAGGGCCAATCTTCCTTGGGAAAAAAAGGGAAATCTGAGGAGAGGGAGCAGGAGGAAAAGATTGGAGTAGGAGTCCTTCATCTCTGTGATGAAGCAGCAAAAGCCTAAGGGAAAGGAGATAAGTTTGAGTGTGGGAATCATGAGGTAGGGCAGATGTTTTCCATTGTGCCCCTTTGTTCTTGTCTGTAGCCTAATGGTTAGCCTGTTTCTAATGGTGCCATTTTTATATACAGTATGCTACTGGATTCTCACGAATCTCTTTGTAGAGGTGATGTCATCCCTATTTTACAGATGAAGAAATTTGAGCCTTCATGTCATGCAATATGAACAGAGTCCACGCCACTAAGAACTACTACAGCCTAGATTTAGAGCCGGGTCTTGTGACTCCAAAACTTGTGCAATGTTAAAAGATTTTAGCAAGAGTTCAAGATTTCAAGTTGTCATAGCGTTGTCATCAGAAAATCCTGGTTTCTCCAATAATCTCTTGATAAGAGAGCGGTAGTTTGTTAGCTCCACAGCTGGGAGGTAGCTTTTTCCATTCTTTCTCCCCTCCACACCCCTCCTCCTTCACCTCTCACTGACCCTGCTATACCTACTTCTTTTTCTACAAACACTTGTGAGATAGAGCCTGCTGGAATGGGCCTATATTAAAGATATGAATCTTGGGGGCCAGCCCTGTGGCCGAGTGGTTAAAATTCCATGTGCTCGGCTTCAGCAGCCCGGTTTCGCGGGTTCAGATCCTGGGTGCGGACCTACTCCACGCCTGAGCCATGCCATGGCACCACCCACATACAAAACAGAGGAAGACTGGCACGGATGTTAACTCGGGGCCAATCTTCCTCACCAAAAAACCCAAAAATACAAAAAGATATGAATCTTGATAAGAATGGGGTAAGTAAAGGGATTACTTTTTTCCATGAAGAAAAAGCTGCATTCTTGAAAGGAAATCAAATAGAACCCAGGAGCAGTCTGGCCGTTTATTTTCTAGAAATACCAAGTAATTAAAGAACATTCTAAAGAGACTTTAATGTTGGGCGTCTGTGCTTAAAGGATGTCAAGAGTTTTTCCCTATTGTTTTTCTCTTTCTCCAGATAAAACTGGTGGTGAAGTGGGAACTTCAGGATGACAAAGGCCAAAGTCTCTTCTGCTGGGAAATCCCAGTGCAGATTGAAGGCTAGAGCTGTTTGCTGCAGTATGTCCCTCTGGGGGTGAGAGAGCACGGGTGGAGGGACGCGAGGAGGAATCAGGTCCAAACTAAGTCAGTGCCATAAGATGAAAGGAATTTCTAGATACTGTTTTATGCCTCTCAAACTCCAAAAGCATCTATGACCCTGTCTCCTGAGAGCTCAGAACTGTCGCCCTTGTGATACCTTTGCAAAAGGGTTGAAGGAAAGGAGAGAGTGAGACTGTAGGGCTTGTTTTCATTGTCTTCAGTGTTTTTTGCTGTTGGAATAAGAAGGGTCCAGCCAGACAGGACCCAAATGAGGCTGCTTAGGGATAGTGGATAACTTGCCCGAGGGTTATTGGCCCTTGCGGCAGAGAACAGATCCCAAACCGTGTCCTTCTAGCTGGGATGTTGCACCTGTAAGTCCGTCATCTCCACGTGCCTCCTTGAGTTCAGTGCATCTGGCCAACGGTCCTGCTGACTGGACAGCACCTCCAGCTCCCTGCTTCAGCCGTGGTGACGCCCTCCGGAGGTATCCAGCGTTTCAGTCGAGGGGCGGTGTTCTGTGGCAGAAACTCAACTCTGGCTGCCTGGTTCGCTGTGGTTATCTCATGTCTCCTTTTCTGTCTTAGATGGTTTTCATTAAACTCAGCACTTGATTAGCAGATGTTTGATTTTTTTTTTTTTTAACAACGTTAACTTGTCGTCTCTTTATGCACCTAGAAATGTCCCTTCGAATAAATAAACACTTGGCAGTGTTGTCTTCTGCGTGTAGGCTGTGGTCACCTGCTTCTTGCAGACAGAGTGCTCTCTCAGACCCGTGGAAGGCCGACCCCAGTCCTATGGGCCCGGAGTGCAGTAGAGACGTGGCTCTTTCAGAAACTGCCTTTTCTCGTCTTTCTGCCCAGTTAGACATTACCTATCTATTTTACATAAAAGGACCTTCTTGTTTCCCTTTATTTTGCACAATTTTATGCCCCCAAGAGTGCTTGAAAGAAGCAGTGAAAGGCTGAATAGTAACAAGATCTGAAAGGTCGAGGGAACTGAATTGGGGAGGGGGCAGTGAGTAAGGTTACAAGTTGATATGAAGCATGGTAATCTTTGGGAACCTGCCATGAGGAAAGCCCAGAAGCTTAAAAATGAAATGTGAAGTTGTAGCAAGTAATAGCTAAGTTAATTAAATCTTGGAAGTGCCTGCTTTTGAAGTCCATGTATAAATGTGGGGCATATATTTTGCTGCCTGTTTTATTTATTTTTTTTTTTTTTGAGGAAGATTAGCCCTGAGCTAACATCTGCTGCCAATCCTTCTCTTTTTGCTGAGGAAGACTGGCCCTGAGCTAACATCCGGGCCCATCTTCCTCTACTTTATATGTGGGATGCCTGCCACAGCATGGCTTGATAAGCGGTGCATAGGTCCTCTCCCAGGATCCAAACTGGTGAACCCGGGCCGCCAAAGCAGTAAGTGCACACTTAACTGCTGTGCCACTGGGCTGGTCCCTGCTGCCTGTTTTAATCAATGTACCATCAATCAGCTTTTAGCTGTCACAGGGATTACAACCCTATTCACAAGTGAATTAAATAACATGGACCTTGGAAAGCCATCTGTTTTGGGTTGGGGTCTTTATGCAACAAATGAGTCATTTGGTCCAGTTATTTTCATCCCCCCATTTTCACAAACCCTTGGATTTCTTGGGCTCGTGAGTTTCCCAAGAAAACCACCAGGGGACAGCCATAGATCGGGAATAAAGTTATCAACAGCCAAATTTACTAGTTAATTCCAGGAGCCAGTCAATCGCTGGACTCTTTAGCTAAGATGTTTTGTGTAACCTATCACATTGCATGTAGAGGGACAGCCCCCTCTTGTCTCACCATGCTGGACCCTAGGTATCTCGGTTGACTGCTGTGGTCTCTGGCTTCAGACTCCTGGGAGTCAGGTCCTGGCTTCATCACTTAAGAAGACTACCAGTGCAATCTTTAAATTCTTTAACCTCTCTGTGCTTCCGTTTCCTTATCTATTTAAATAGGGAGAATAACAGTAGGACTGTGAGGATTAAATGAGAGGATGCTTGTAAAACTAGAATGACCCCTGGCACATAGTACACAATCAGGAAATATTAGCTATTCTAGGAGACAGATATTGTTCCTCATCTAGAGATACTAGCAGGAAAATCAAAATTCAATCTGAGTGTGATATGTCACCTCAGAAAAATGAGACTCTGTGCACAGAACTTTTCGAGGTGCCTGGAAAAGCTCAGTTCTTATGTGTGTCTTCTCTCTCCCTATTCCCAGAAGACTCCTCATGTCATTGAGCTACCTGCCCTGCACTTCACAGTCCTGCCCTCATGTGTTAAAAGAAGACAGAAGGAAAGGAGTTCAGCTAGTGTGTACCCTTCAGTCAGAGCAGAAGGGTAACGCAGCAGCTTATGACTGTTTACCAGCCATCACGAGGCGCGTGGAGCCTGCTGCGGTGAGCTGGATACGGCTCCCGTGGGGGGGATTAGTTTGAAAGGTCGTCTTCTGTACAGATGGTTCCCAGCGTGCCCCCGAGTCGTTAAAACATTGAGAAGCACTGAATCTTAGGCTATATAAGAAAGGTCATGCTCTTGCCAGTGACGCTGTCATACTTTTCTAGGCCACCGAGCAAGCCTTAGAGGCTTGGACACGGCTCCTCCTGCATGAATTCCAGGGTAGAAAAACCCCAAAGTCCAGTCGTTAAAAAAATGTGAGGGGGACCTCTGGTTCCAGGACAAAGGGAACCCAATACCTAGTATCTCCAATTTGGGAGAGTATTAGAGGGGAGGCCTGGCATTTAGTCAGATCTTCAGGCTAATAAAAAGCAGGAAGCATGGAGTAACCTTCAATCCTGTATGTTTGGTTTTGAAACCTTAGTTGATTTTTTAAAAGAAGCAGATTGATCTTAATTACGTTTTGCAAAGGTTAATGAAACAGTCTGTTCTCTGAGGACACCCACAGATGTAGGAAGGGTGGCTTGGCATAGGTGAGGTCTGAGCAAGGGGAAGATGATATGAAATTAGCCCTTCACGTCAGGTAACCCAAAGAACAAATGGTGCTTAAGTCAGAAATAGAGGTTGGGGGACGTAAAGGCCTGGGATCTCCAGTTGAGGGATGTGTGTGTGCACACGCGCGCGTGTGCTGGGAATGGGAGGGACAGTGTTGTGTGACCTGAGGTGAAAGTGGTGCTGGACCTCCACAGATGTTGCCTAAAAGAGTCTTTAGAGGAGTTGAGTCATTTTGGGTGATTGTGTCTTTTTCTATGAAGCGAATCCCCCAGCCTATCCCTCAGATTCCAGACTGAACCCTATTCACTTACAGCTGTCAGTTGACTAGCAACTAAATGGTCTGGGTGTTGGTTGCCATGGAAACATCTAAAAGGCCCATTGCTATAGGAACCTACCATGCTCTCCAAACCAGGGATTTGGTTCCTAAAAATGAGTGGAGGGGAGGGTGGGGGGTGGACCCTAGGAGGTGGGCTCCACAGGTGGTTTGGGGTCCTAGAAGAGGTGAGTGATGTGGGTGAGCAGGCCTGGCTAGCTGCTTATGACTAGGGCAGAAGAAGGGCAGTGACTTCTTCCACTTTCTGCAGGCATTCCCACCTGTTCTCTGTGGTAGCCACAGAGCACAGATGTTTGCCGTCCCAGATGGGAAGTAAGGTCCTGGGGCAGACCTAGCACGTCCGTGCTGCTACCCTCATCTGCAGGGGCTCTGAAAGGGAAAGTCTTGGTTCCTCTCTGCACGGCAGGCTGTTCTCCATTCATCATGTGTCCCAGATAAGCAGCCAGCAGGTCACAGGATCAGCTTAGCTCTGATTGCCAGTGGGTCAGGCTGATAAGGAGCCTGGCAGACAAAATGGATGGCTGCTGGCCTTGAACATGGCAGAGATGCTGGGGGTTCCAGGTGAGGAAGCAGGAGGCAGGCCAGCAACAGCAGTCTCTACTCTGTGTTAGAGAATTGTATTGCTCTGCTCTGTCCTCTACCCACCCGCATGCCTCTACCACAAAAGGCAGTATTGCAGATGGAGCAAAGTATTAAAGACGAGGTTTGACAGAGACTCTCAATGGATGCACACAACAGTTGTGAGATTCTTTTCTGAGGGGCCAGCCCAGTGGTGTAGTGGTTAAGTTCGTGCAATCTGTTTCAGCAGCCCGGGGTTCATGGGTTCAGATCCTGGGTGCAGACCTAAGCACCACTCATCAAGTCACACTGTGGGGTGGCCCACATTCAAAATAGGGGAAGTTTGCCACAGATGTTAGCTCAGGGACAATCTTCGTCACCAAAAAAAAAAAAAAAAAAAGATTCTTTTCTGAGTTTTGCAATCGAGGGAAATAACTCACATCAGTGTTTAGTAGTAAGATGACCTTTTACTGAAACAAAGAAAAAATGTCCTAGTGTCTCTGCCATTAACTACTGTTAATATGTAATGTATAAGTTGAAGGGATTGGGCTAGATAATGTCTAAATTCTCTGTCAGAACTAAGAGCTTGTGATTCATTGCGATGCTGAGGGGAAGTTTGAGCGCCACGGGCAAGCGGACACAGACTAATCGTCCCTGTGAGAGCGTGGAAAATCCTGGAGTCCAGAGGGGCTTAGGATTGAGTCTAAGGCCAAGACATTTGATTTAGAGACCATCTCAGATATGTTTGGCCCAGGGGACTTTCATCTGATTCTCTACACTTCTGAGGTGTGTGGTCTTCATTTTCTCTCCTGATCGTGACTTCTCGTGCCTGGAGTTGTTGGTCTCAGCCAATCCCAGGGAACTTTAGAGTCTAGGAGCCTGGCACCAGAGAGACAGTTGCTTCCCAGGATCTAGGCTGCTCCACAGGACAGTTGAGCATTTCCTAGCATCTGTGGGGAGGTTTTCACTTTGGGAACACAGTAGTTGTTTATAGACTTCTAAACATTTAAGTTTTAAAAACAAGCTGGGTTTATATCCCACCTCCAACGCTTTCCAGTTGATACACTTTGGATAAGTTATTTAACTTACTCTTAAGACCTCAATGTCCTCAGCTGTAAAATAGGATGATAAGAATGCCCATCTCGGGGCGGTTCTCGTGATGACCTGAGGTGGTGTCTGCAAACTGTTCAGTGCGATGCCTAACTCTAATAAGCGCCTGATTATTATTATCCTCCTAGATAAGCGAAGGTTGCAGCCATGGAAACTGCTCAGTGGCCTAGAATCATAGGCATTTGCCATGGATTTGTCTTCCAAATTTAATTCCAGGTGCCATTCAAGACTGATGGGCTCCCTGTTGCCCTCCCTGTTTTTTGCCTCCATTAAGGCAGATTCTGATCCTCTTTTTGTGACACTCACCACATTCTTTTTCACGGGTAATTTTTGCGAGTCAGCTTACCTTCCTACTAGGCTGTAAACATCTTGAGAATAGAGACTGCCTTTCATCTTTAAGCGAATGCCTAGAACTCAGCACTCAGCAATTATTTAGTGAGTTTTTTTGATATGGGGGAACGTCGTGATTCTTTTGGTTTTGAATCTGACCACTTAACCGTATAGTAGCCTCGGTCTCCAAAGAGGGAAAGAGTAACCTTTGATTTGGCTTCATTCTCCTGAAGAAGGCCACGTAGTTCCCCATCCTGGCTGGGGGGTAGTTCTAGAGCAGGTCTCTGGCTCACATCTTGTAGAAGCCAGCTGTCA